CCGCTGCTGAAACTGACCAGCGGCGGCTGAATCAGGAACGCCTGAGGCAGAGCCGGACTATTTGAAGGGGGGGCTATGAGGGGTCTGGGATCAGACCCCTCATAGCCCCCCCTTCCGATAGTCCGGCATATTTGATAATCCAGCACACCCTGGGTCCTAAAGGTGCTGGATTATTGGAAGTTTACTGTAGTGTGAATTCATCACTGCATTTATCATAGTACTATATATTCATATTTAAGCAGTATGCTAGAAAAATATATATTCTCACAGCAAAAATGGCTGACCAAATATTTTAATCAGCTACAATTGGTCAACTATAGTAAAAGCATCCTGAGAGGTTAACAATTAAATCACACTGTTTTAATATCATGTGCTATAAAAAGCTACAGGAGACACATGAAAGTATCACAGCTATAAAGTCATTCTCACTCTGTCCCAATAACTATTCATTAGTGCTCATATTTTCAAGTAAGAGTACATGTTCATATACATGAAGCCACAAGGCAAATCAGAATATGATCAGAGTACTCATGTTGGTTTAAAAGCACATTACTTGCTTATTTTTGTCATTTGGTTGTAGTCACAATATGCATCAGTTGCACACAGCAGCCACACTACAGCCATAGGATACTTATGAAAATAAACTGACAATGCAGTTTAAGGACACATTAAGGATGTTAAATTTAGATTGAATTGACTATTCGATTAGTCAATAGGGCACCTCCGAAGGCAAAACTGCTGTGGTGAGCACAGGGACAGTGGGGTGCTCAAGCAGTCCCCCACTGGCCCTGTGCTCTCTGCACCTTTTCAAAGTGGCATCCCCCCCGGCCCCTGGGCTCCATTCAGTGCTGCTGCTTTGAAACGCTACGTGGAGCCTGATGCCGGGCTCCCTGCGGCACTGCCACTTTGGAACGCCATGGGGAGCTTGGCATCAGGCTCCACGCAGCGTTTCAAAGCGGCAGCACCGCACAGAGCCCAGGGTCCACGGGGAAATCTCCAGCAGATCCCAGGCTTCACACAACACTGCCGCTTTTAAATCCCGAGTGTAGCCTGGGGACTCCCCAGCTGGCCCAGGGCTGCAACCAATGTTTCAAAGCAGCAGTGCCGTGCGAAGCCCGGGCCCTGGCCCCAGGCTCCACATAGCGCTGCCACTTTGAAGCACTCCCTCCTCTTCCACCCCCATGCTGCCTCTTTCTGAGACACACACCCGGGAATGGGGGGTGGGAGGAGAGTGACTAGTTGACTAGCCTGTAGACTGTTCAATAAGCATTTGCTAGTTGTTCACATCCCTAATCACATTGGACTCTTCTTTTAAATGGTATCTTGACACCACTGCTGCAAAATAAAAACCGAATAGTGTGTATTGATTTGTTTACTGTATTGGTTTTAAAGCGTTGAATTATTGATACACTTCCACATAGGCAGGCATTATTTACCACCTTTCCGTAATACCACACACAAGACTTAGCACAGATCAGACTATATAGAGCTTCCAGTAATTTTTAGTTTATATAGACTGTTTGCTGGTTAATGAACAAGTACAATTGGTTAAATCTTTGTGTCTGGCAATAAACCGTTTCAAACTGGGTTTTTGACTGGGTGCACTTTACAAATACATTACAGTGTTATTCCCAGATAAAATTTGTTTCACCAGCTTTGAGATCTAGGTATATTTGTTGTCTAATAATGTTAAAAACAAACATCAAAAATTGATTTTACAATTGAACATTATAAATACAGAAATGTATTGAGCCAGTGTTTAAAAATAACATAGCATCAACTAAAGAGATAACGGCTCTATTGTACCTTAGCATTTTTTCTTTTCAAATCCTTCAGTTCCTGGACTTCTGTTATCTACAGGAAAAAGAAAACAGAGTACTGACAGCAAGATTTGCGTGACAACCTTCCCCTATCCTTTTATTGTTTCTCTTTATAATCACTGCTATAAGAATTATTTTTGAAAAAAAATAATTTGCTCACTTTGGTTTAAAGAAATTAGTCACTGGTAATTTTGCCTGGCATTTTCTTTCCCCATCCCCAGTTCAGAACAAGGACTATTATAAAATGCTTCTCTCTCCACCACCATGGAGGCAAGACTGACCCTCTCTAGCTCCCTATCTAAAAATTCTGGGTTCTTTATAGAAATAATGTGAAGTTTTATTTTTTCAAATGATTTATTAGCATGGACAAGTTTAACATTCAACTAATATTTTAATATTGATTGTGGCAAACGTCATAATTAAAGACCAACAATCTAAATTTATTTCACTATATATATTAAATCTTAATTATCACAACTATAATTATTGTTCTCTACAGTCAAGTTCTGAAAAATGATATCAATGAAGTCTTCTCCATGCAATGTATTCTAGAACCCCTTAAACCAGGGGGTTCACCCGCGCCCGCACCAGGCAGAGCCGGGGGAGAGACCTAGCTCCACATATCAGTGGAGCAGGGCCCCCGGCTCTGTAACTCGCCGGCACTTCCGGGTTCAGGGGCACGGGGCCCGAATTGGGCTAAGACCGGCCCTGCCGGCAGCCACTAGGCATGCTGAGGCTCAGTATTTTTTTCCCGCAGCCTGGTACCAGGCCGCAGCCCATAGTTTGGGAAACGCTGCCTTAAACTAATTTTAAAGACCTGAATTTTACCAAATTCATGGCCCTCTTGCAAGTAGCAGAAAAGCGATTTCATGAATGCAAGCTTGCTGAGGCAGATATACAAAAGCAGTACATCATGTAACTTGGCAGACCTTCAACTCTAAGTCTCAATCCTTCAATTTGCATCCACTCATTAGTCTGAGGGGTAGCCTGTTAATCTGTAACTTTAAAAAAATCCCAAAACCAGTTGTCCTGTGGTACCTTAAAAACTAACAAAAAATTTATATATTTACACACACATATATAAAATGATATATATATTTGTTAGCCTTTATGGTGCTACAGGATTACTTGTTTCGTTTCTTTGCTCATTGTAGGAGTGTCTCCACCTTTTCTTTACATGTTGAACACACAGCTTTACAGTGGTAAGTGCACAAGAGAAGGTCCTTGTCTCCCAAAAGCTGACAAATACTCCAACCCTGTAATTTATTGCCTATGATCAAATTACTGGGCCCAGCTGGAACCCCTGGGGTTCTGCACAGGTGCCACCATCGGTCCATGTGCAGCAAATTGGAATAAGGATTAGTGATCTAAGCAAGTATTTGAGTTGACTAACCAGTTAGTCGAGTCAACTGCTTGACTACTCTTATTTCCCCATCCCCACTGCCTCAGTATCAAAGGCAGCAGGG